GCTTTTCTTCACGTTCTTCATCTCTTAATCCTTTGATCTAGTTTACACTATAATTTAAACACTAAAGATAATTAGCTTACTTTCTAAGAGCCTTACTGCTAACAAGATACAAGACACATCTGTTTGGCCAGTTTGGACTGCAGCGAATCTTTTATTTGCTTTTTGACTGTGTCTGATCTATTTAAGTAGTGATTTCTCCAGGTGAGACACTTGTTTCCTCTTAGTTCTTTAAAGAAAGATTCAAACCAGTGGCACTTAAGAGCATCTAAACCGCATCTTCACATAATTTACTATTCTTGACATATAGATGGTCATGTCTGTTTCTCATTTGCAGCAGAGTGGGGAGCTGCAAAACAGAAATAGACCAAATACAGAAAGCTCTTACTAAATGCATTAAAGGCTTTCTTTATGCTTTGAGGCTATATTAACCAAAGTGTGGGCATTTCACTTAATATTGTTACATTTTGTTGTGTAGTAAAGTTTGTAGTTACTGCTCTCTCTGTAGGGTTTGTATTACAAAACTAAATATGCCAAACATAACAGGATAATTTTTTTTCTCTCCATATGTCAGTATAATCACTAAACTATTCGATTTTTAATTATATTTACCTTATTTGTGTTGTTAAACAACAGTTAATCAGTATGCAACACATACTGACACTGCAACCAGACTTACAAAGCCCTTAGTTTTGTAAATAATCTTGAAAAATTTTTAGGAGTGAAAAAGCAAAGTGTAAAACTTGCCAAAGTTTTGAAACTGTAATATTGCCGGAGTGAAAAAGCAAAGTGCAAAACTTCCCAAAGTTTTGAAACTGTAATATTGCCTCCCTCAGCAAAAAAAATAGAAAGTAAAACTAAAGAGCAACACTTCAGGAGATAAGAGCACACACCAGGTAGAAAAAATGGAGATGAAGCCAGCGTTTGCAACATGATTTTCAAGGCTGCAAATTATTCCCCTTGCTGATCAGAACAATCAGTCCCATGACCCTATGCCAAGGACTCTATTGTACCCCTGGTATATCATGACACTAAGGAAACAATGAAAGGCAGCCATAAAAGAAAAAGCCTCTTACCTACAGGACAGTGCACACAGTTTAAAAAATCCTCATTCTTAGCTAGCACTTAGCATCATGTTTTTACTCTGGAATTGTAAACACTGATTAATGTAACAACTATGTTATCTCTAGCTAAATAATATTTAGATAAACAAGAAGAAATACACTTGTGCTAAATAAACAATACATCTTGCAGTAAATGGATAATAACATGTTGCTTTACAAATATACACCACATAATCTAGACAGTGTTTATGCTATTGATATAGGCCACACCTCTCTTGTCAGATATTTTGTTCAGCTGTTGTAAATAACGGAATTCAGGTTGCATAATTACAGCTGGTATTTTGTTTCACTAGTCATTTCAGAACAAATATATTATTCCACATCTGTGTGTAATTATTTTTCTTCCTCTTGAAATGGTAGGAATCTGAATTTCCTATCCACAGCACAAAGTAACCCAACCCTTGGCTAATTAAATATTAGCTAAGTCTCTCTTTACAACTGTAAATTGCACTGCAGCAAAGAAAGTGACTTGCATCTTGAATGTTACATCATGATTAATAATGCCAATGTACTAATTTAGTCTCCTTAAGACATTGGAAAAGACATCACTCTGACAACTGTGTTTTTTTAAGTTATCAACATTTCTTATATTTAAGAGCTAAAAAGAAAAGAGACCAGGGGAAAAAAGGGGAAGTTTCCATAATCACAGCTCACATTGAAGAATTGTACGGTTTTAGTAGACTGCACTCTTAGACAGTACTGTCCATAATGTCAGCAGATATGGTGTCTTTCTTCCCATCTAAGTCAGTGGAACTTAAATCTGTATTTTTATTAAGCATATATAAATGAAAGGCTTTAAGCTTCAGCTTTCAAAAGTGACTGCTAATTTTGAGTGTTTCCTCTTTCAGAGGACATGTCAGTGTTCAACTGTCTTCACCTCCGTTCTTTCTCTGTAAAATGGGGGGTGACAGCAATTTATGTTTGTATTCTAGCAACACTTAAGAATCTCCATCAAAAATTAGAACCACACTGTTTGAAGCGCTTTAGAGATTGCTTTGGCAAATATCCTTGGAAGAAAGTTGCTATTCCTCAACTGTATACTGCTGAAACCAGGTGTTAAGTATATGCTTCTTCAGCTAGTTTAAGGAGGCCAAATAGCATAAAAGGGTGAGGTCTGTGGGCAGTCTTGATTGGCCTAGTAGGAATGTTTACCAGCTCTCCCAGACAGGCTGGGCTCCTCAAAGGTTTAATTTCAAATCAAGTGAGAATGAGCTCTCTGGACTCTAGGCATAAGGTCAGCTATGCACAGACTGAGCCAGGACAGTGTCCTTTGAGTTTGTGACACCACTCTGCCCAACTCTTTTCATCCGTAGGCTCATCCCTATCTGTGCTCCTGCTCAGAGGCTGTGGCAGCAGATCCCCTGTAGCGGTACGACTGCCTCTTCTGCAGGCTCTGATTTCCAGCTGCAGTGGCAAGGGCCTTGCTCCAAGCTGTACTGATGACCAAGTGCTGAGCCGTGCCCCTGGGCCCGGCCCAACGCTGCCCTCAGGTTTTACTGCAGCCGTAACACAGCAAGGTTATGTGCCCAGCCTGCCCACTTCAGCCTCAAAACGAAGAGCAAAGCATGTCAAAAGTGGTCAGTTCTCCCTGCTTTGCTACAGCCTGCGGTAGTCAAGGGTAGGCGGGCCATTCCCGTCAGTACTGCTGAAGAGCCGCAGAGCAGTGCTGCACAGCCCACATTTGGTTCAGCAGCTGCCAGTTGAAGAAATCTGTCTGAGAGCATAATACATAGGTAACTGGTAAGTGAACAAAGAAGCCTGATGACAACAACAATGGGGAATTAATACTGCCCAAATTCTTACTGAATCACAGAATAATTTAGGTGGGAAAAGACCTTTAAGATCATGCAGTCCAACCGTTATCTAGCAAAATGTAAGTTTCACAATTTTCAGAAATTCTTTAGCGATTTGAGCTCATTGCCTTTTAAATCAAACTCATTGTGAGGGCACACTGGACTGCAAGATTAGTCCTTGAAGTACACAGCCATAGGCAAATACACAAGTGCTTTGCTAACATTCAAACACTGACATGCTAGATCAGCAAAGTATTATTATCATGATCACAGTTAACATGGCAAAGCCCCAAGCTGGATCCATATCATGACATAAACTTTCACTACTGAAACAACAGGGCTATACTAGTGGCTGGATAGTTTCACCTGTGTGTATATGCTGGAAACTTGTACAGAGCTATCCGTCAGGCATCACTTTCCCTTATGTTACTTATAGTGCAGAGCTGACTTGTCTCTGCTGTCAACGTGGCACAAAGCAACTTACGTGCCCTGAAGGTCTTTTTGGCAAGAGTTTTAAAACAGAGTTGGGAGGTATCCCAACTAGAGGGCCAACTATGTTGTACCATCCTGTGTAAATGTCTTACACAGAGCTAATTTGACTTTTCAGACATTGTGACGTTAGAGAGAATTTCTTTCACTGAGTGTTGTAAAAGAAATGGTGGTAATGCCCTCCCTTCTAGGGAAGGTCTGGAGCAGAACAGCTGGGTGTGACAGGGGCTCTCAGGCTGAAAAGGAGTCAATAAAAATGTGCTGTTGCAAAAAGCACAACCACAATCCTAGGATGTGTAAGTGGACGTACAGATCCAAGACATGAAGAAAACCTAATGCTTAGCTAAAATACTGTGTCTAATTTTAGGCACTGAACTTCAGGAATGGCAGAAACCATCTAGAAAGTCCAGAGGAAACTACAAAACCTGTATTCTAGAAATTCTAGAAAACATGACCTATGAGAAGACAGAATCATAAAAAGGGGGGGGGGGGCATTTTTTAGTCTAGGAAACGGGAGTTCGAGGGCAACATAGCAATAGCCTGTGTATAGTTGAAAAGTCGATGCAGTAAGGGGATTAACCGGCTCTATGTGCTCACTCCCAGTAATATAAAAGCAATAGGCTTAACCCAAAGTACAGGGGATGTAAGTTTGAATAACATTCACATTATAGACACTGGGACAGCTTGCCAAGAGACACTTTGGAACTAACATTATCACAGCTTCATAAAGGAGACTAACTTCTGGAGTTCCCCCAGTCCTATTCCCTCTGATACTTGTTTTTTTCTGTCCACTAAAGAAAGCGCTCTCCTCCTCATGAGCTTTCAGCTAACACAACAACCCAAGAGACTACAACACTCTTCAGCTGTCTAGTGTCCTTAAAGATCTGTTCACTCATTTCTATGTGCACTTGATACACCCACTCACATAAGCATTTGCACTGCTCAGCATCCTCTGCTATTCACCTGCCAAGGTCCCATGAAGTTCTGCTTTTACTTCAATAAGGAAACGGGGTCTGTTTTTTTCTCACGCAGCAGCTCGACAGTTCCTCGAAAACACAGTGCTCCAGCTCACTCACAGTCCCCCGAAACGCTGCGGCCCCCTGCAAAGCGAACCCTGCCCTTGAGGACTGTACAGCAGCGTCACTGCTTCCGTTTGCCCCACCGCTTCTGGGAGGCTCGGCTTGATTTTGTTCCGTTTTCCTGGCACGAACTGCATTCTGGCTGCCACCGAGGCGCAGCGGTTTCGGCAGCGGACTTCCCTCTCCTCGTACCCGCAGGCCCTCAACAAACCGGCTCCCCCTCAAGCGAGCGGCGAGCCCGCCGACCCCGCGTCCCTGCCAGGAACGGGAAGGAGCCGATGCCCTCCCGCCCAGCCCCGGCACTTCCTCGCAGCCACACAGCCCCCGAGCTTTCCTCCCCGGCTCCGCCTTTCTTTTCCTCCTCCTTCCCCGGCCGGGCAGGGTAGGCCGGGCCGGGCCGGG